CTCGCCCCGCCCGGGCCTGCTGCCCTGCGCAGACGTTGTCCGTGCGTGCTCGTGTTCCGTGCGCGGCGCGCCTCACCTTGACGGAGTGTTTTCCCCGTAGGATATCTTGGAAGGATGCATGTCTCCTCTGGTGTTGTCCCCTTATTCTGGCTGGGTCCTAGACCGAGTGATTGAGCGATCAGCCCCAGAAACGTCACCCTCCAGGAGCTCAGCGTCGAGGGAGTCCAGTCCCCACGCAAAGCAGTCGTCTCCTCCGGAGAAGATGCCGTCTGCCAGCCACCGGGACCCCTCCCCGCTGTCCTCTGCAGAGCCGAGCGAACCCAAGGTACCTCTCTGATTGCAGCCCCTACGCCAGCCGCTGCGAGCCAAATACGTGTTAACTTGCTGCCATAAATGGCCTGATAAAGGTTGGTTTGTGCTCCGTTAACGTGTGGGAAAAATGTGTTCCATTTCAACTGTTTGGGGGGATAAATGGGTGAGGGTAAAACTGGTATTAAGGTTTTCACACAGTAACGTTTCACAGGAGGTCAAAAGCCAACTCGTTGTAACTAAGGAAAATTTAGTTGGAGCTGTATAGTTACGTGGATTAGCAGCGTGGGATTCATCCACGTGGAGGAATAACGTCACAGAGTAGGATCAGGCCTGTTGTGTGAGCGACCTGTGACTTCCCTCGGGCTCTCTGAAGTCTGGGAATGACTTGGCTGTGTTACGGTTCCCTTAGGAGGTGAAAGGGTAGGAAGCTGAGCGGTTGAGTTGTGGAGGTAGTGAAATTGGTGAAGCGCCTGAAAACAAGTGTGTGTTGCTGTGCATTAAAGTATGATCTCACCGCGTCACAGGGATACTGAGCAGCAAAGTTCGGCATCAGCTTGGCCCCATTTAGGCTTAAGAAATTTATTGTTGGAAAAACATCTTCAGGAGGCCCCAAGGTCTGATGAAAGTTGTGTGAGAGGCTGAAGACTCCTCCTGAAGAATGATTCAAAGCATAAACTGACTTTTTTTGTAACAGTTTCACTGAATGTAAGGAGAATGTATCTGGGTATCTGCTTCTGCACTGGGCTGACCCTGGCTGGAGGCCTCTGCCCTCCAAAGCGGCTCTATCCCTGCCCTCCTCAGCTGGACAGGGGAGGGTGAATAGGATGGGAAGCTTCTGGGTTGAGATAAGGACAGGGAGAGATCACTCAGCAGTTACTGTCACAGACAAAAGAGTCTGGACTTGGGGAAATTAGTTTAACTTATTACCAATCAAATCACGAGTAGAAGAGAACTAAAATCTTAAAAAACACTTTCCTCCCACCCCTCCCTTCTTCCCGGGCTCAGATTCGCTCCCGTTTTCTCTACCTCTTTCCCCTGAGAGGCATGGGAGGATGAGGAGTGGGGGCTGTGGTCAGTCCATCACATGTTGTCTCTGCTGCTCCTTCCTCCTCAGGGGAGGATCCTCAAACTCTGCTCCCATGGGAATCAGTCCTCCACCAACTTCTGTGTTGGGGGTCCCCCCCACAGGGTGCAGCCCTTTGGGAGCAGCTGCTCCAGCCTGGGCCCCCCCGGGGTCACAAGTCCTGCAGCAAACCTGCTCCAGCCTGGGCTCCTCTCTCCATGGGCCACAGCTCCTGCCACGAGCCTGCTCCAGCGTGTGCTTCCCCTGGGGTCATGGCTTCCTTCAGGCACCCCCCTGCTCTGGTGTGGGGCCTTCCCCCC